ACTTTGAAGAGTCACTCTCACGAGCCGAGCAATCCGAAGGGGTACGATCCGAATCAACACTTTGAAAGGACACCCCCACATACGGGGCCTTCTCGAAGAGGCACACCCACGAACCGAACCTTTCAAATAGGTACATTCACATACCGGACCTTCCCGAAGAGGCACACCCACGAACCGAACCTTTCGAAGAGGTACATTCACGAACCGGGCCTTTGAAGAGGTACTTTCACGAACCGGGCTTTTGAAAAGGTACTTTCGTGGACGGGCCTCTAAAGAAGGTGTTTTGCCGGATCGAGTTCCTCGTGAGGCATGATCACGATTGACCTTGAGCTATGGCCCCGGTGGGCGCGGGAGGAAACCTCTGACACAGAAAGTTCAAGTGCCATTCCATGGGACAGGCGCGCGTGGTATCGGCGGACTCTTGTTGGAAGAAGAGTTAGGCAGAGGCTGTCCACGCGATCTGTAGGCACTCAAACGGACCCTACACATATAGACAAGGGGACTTCACCCGGGTTCGGGGACTGCGTTGAGCACCCCATTGTACTTGATTGAAAGGAAACTCTTATATTGTTCTTTTTCCGGCCTACTCTTTGAGACTTGTGTCACGTGGCATGGAGTCAGTCTGAGCTACACTTTGACATGGATGTGTATTGACGTGGATTGTGCAGGATATAGAAGCCCCGACCAACCCTCTCGTGGGTGACAGACGCGGCGCGAAACATAGGGTTTGTGTTGGAGACCGGCAGAGCTCTTCTAACGGTCGACAACGGGTGTGGAGCCCGGTGCCATGGTCGTCGCCGTGTCCGCGGCGTGTGACACACCGTCGGCCATGAGGAGGTGACGGACCGGACTGAAGGGGGTCAGGGGAGGTCCGCGTGAGCGGAGGGCATAGGGGGGGGTCCGCAGTAGAAAGCGGCGGACGGCGCTAGCAAAGCTAGCGCGGGGGCCGTCAAAGGGGGAGGGGTGGTTCGGGTCCAGGGTCCCCGAAGAGGAAGGGGAAGTAAGGGGGGGGTTCGAAGAACTTTAAACCCTACAAAAACCCTAAGAAAACCCTAACCGAAGTTTGAGTGGTTAGGGTAGCGTACCGGTGACCTAATCAAGAAAATAAGATAGAACGCATAAGGGGAGAAGGCAGAAAAAAAATAAATAAACAGCGAGATTTCATGAGAAAAATAAAAATAAATAACGAAATAAATAAATAATAAAAATAATTAAAAAAATAAGGAAATAAAATATGAAGAGAGAAATAATATTTATTTTCTTAGAATTTTCGGCAGCATTTCCCTACACCCCATGGGGTCAAGAATGTGCCAAGGTGAAAGGAGAGACCAAGATAAGCACACTAGGTTTCAAACTGCCCCGAATTAAAAATTTCAAAAAATAAATAAATAAATAAATAATAAATAGATAAAAAAATAAATAAGTAAATAAGTGGATGAGGAGGTGGAGAGAAATGAAGTATCTGATTTTTCAAAAATTTCGGCAGTATTTCGTTACCCCCATGGGGTCGAAGTGTGCCGAAAAAACTAAATGAAAGAAAAAACAGAAAATTTCGGCAGCACTTCGTTACCCCCACGGGGTCGAAACGTGTGCCGAAAGCAAGAAAGACTAACACCTAATCAGATTTAAGGTCGCCGCAAAGAAAATCAAATTTTCAGAATACGGAAAAGAAAATGAAATAAATCAGAAAATCAAAAAAGAGTGTGGGGAATAAGATGATTCAATTTTTTTTTATTATTATTATTTTTTTGGAAAAGAGAAGAAATATAAATCAAGAGAAGATAAAAAGAAACAGGAAAAAAAACAGAAAATTTCGAAGTTGGGGGGAAGGGGGATGAAAAGGTGAAGGAGAGAAGACAGAAATGGGTGGGAGAGAGAAAAAGAGTGAAGGGGGAGATGGGGGAAGTGATGGGGTTGTTGGGGGAGAGGAGGGTGAGGGAATGGGAGGGATAGGGATGGGAAAGGTGGGGAGGGATCAAGAAGCAAAGAGAGAAGAGGAGAAAGAAAAGAAAATAAATGAATAGAATGGAATAAAAATGGTGGGTGGTTGGAGAAAAGGTGGGGTGGGGAGAGGGGTATGAGTAAGAGGAGAGAGAGAAAGGGAGAGAAAGTGGGTTAGTAGGGAGAGGGGAGAAGTGATACCTGACCCTTGGTGTCTCCAAGGGCACAAGGTATACCAAGACCAGGAGGGTCTTGGCCTTCGCTGCAGCAAGCCGGCTGGAGGAGAGAGGGGGTTGAGATCTTGATCAGATCCTAGCAGCAGTTCTGCAGATCTGCAGATCTAGGGTCTGTTGTGTGAGCAGACCCTCAGCACTGTAGAGAAACCCCTTCAGTTCCACCACAAGCTGCCACGTGGCAGTAGAGATGGCCACGTGCACAGGCAACAGCAGCTGACGCAGGGGGAGGGGGCAAATAGTAGCCCGGGCGCTGCTGCCCTGCTCGCCGTCGGGGGGGGTTGGAGAGGGGGGGGGTAAATAGCTGGCACACAACTCTTCAACAGCAGTGTGCCGCTGTATAAGACCATATACACACTGTGGGAAGTGTGTTATGGCAGCGGTATACGCACGTGCAAGCCCAGCAGCTGCCTGGGTTCAAACCTTAGCAGCAGCAGCATCCCGGATCTTGAATAATATAATCCGCAAGCGGGGCGGGGCGGGGCGGGGCGGGGCAGCGGGGCAGCGTGGGCGCGTGGCGCGTGCGGCGGCCGCCAGAGATAGAGATGGTGATGGAGGAAGAAGGGGGAGCGAGATGGCACAGCGCAGCTCCCACGCCTGACTCCAACGCACATACTCCAAACTGTACAAATGCAGAATGAGCCCGAAAACAGACAACTGCTGGGGTACACCCCAGCGGACTGACGGGACTGGACTGGACTGGCTGGTACCGACAGAGGTACCCGCCTGGACTGGACTGCCCCGAATACAACACAAGAAAAAACAGGCCAAGGGGCTGGTCTCACAGGCCAACCAGAGGTCCACTACATCAGACCTAAAAAGTGTTTGAGGGACATAGTCAATAACCGGTGGGCCAAGCACTTAAACGTGGATCGCTCTCTTCTGACCCCCCTCCACTGGTTTAGGGAACAAAAATCTAAACCGATGAAGATCACCTCCCTGCAGTGGCAAATCGCTCATCACTGCCTACCAACCAATGATTGGCTGGCTGATTGCACTAATTTGGAACAACGAGGTTTGCTACTCGCATGGTGTCAGAGGTGCTTGAGTCTTTTCCCCTTCCACAAAAAAGTGGAGACTATCTAACACATCTTCATGCAATGTCCAACCGCCCAATTTATATGGCGATGGTGGGACCGCATATGGAGGAAAATGGAAGCGGAATCCCCCTGGCCATGATCCTGGCAAGCCATACTGGCGGGCCATTGGCCGCCGCTAGTAGCAGCCACGACCTTCATAAAGAATATGTACAAACTTGGAAGGAGAGCAGTGTTACGGGCACTATGGTGGCAGAGATGCACCCTAGCCATGAAAAAGGTGAGAGCAGACGGGCCAGAAATCACAGAACAAATCCACCAACAGGTGCAAGCTGAACTCACACAAAGATGGTTAGACACCAAAGCACAACAGTTACTAGACCTTTTTCAGCAAATCGGAGATGTCAGGAGACGAATTGCAGCCTTGTGCTCAGAGTGGGTAGGTGGGGGAGAGAGAGGGATGGATTGCAAAAGTAGAATGCAGTGGAGATAGGGGAGAAGAACAGAGGGACCTGGAAGACATGAGAGACTATCGTCTTACTTTTAAAGACTGGACTAACATAGAACCCACATTCCCATTGCGCCCTCCCTCAGACTTCCCAGACCCGTTCCCACCCCATGCTCTTTCGCTGACAGAGATTCTCTCCTGATCAACACAGCTCTTACTGCAACCCTTAGCCCAATCATCCATACAACTCTTACTGCAACCCTTAGCCCAATCATTCATATATGTATGCAGAAGTTATAAGCCCAGGATGATCTACTGGTGCCCCCCGGTGATCCTCCCCCCGGCACACAATGGGATCCTGGACCCATTTTTCAGCCAGCAGCTTAGTTCAACATGGTTTAGAAGAAAGGGGGAGCTAGGAAGTAGCGAAGTATCCGGCACCCGAGCAGGGTAAAGAGGTTCCCCCCCCCTTCTGTTCCACATCCTGCGCAGTCAATCCCCTGGACACCAGGGCAATCAATGCTGGCAGGACCCTCCCAAACTATGATCAGATGTATTGCATTTTGGCAATCTGTATAAGGGACGCTGGACCCGCTTTCCAGCAGGTGACGCTCCCCACCAGTAGACGGAGCCCCTCCCCCTGGTGCTAGTGGTGTCTGCTCTTACCAGCACCACTGGCACTTACGAGACGAGGGTTTGACCAAAAACAAACAAACAAAAAAAAAAGGGGTGTGGCCGAGACATCTCGGTCGTGGCCTGACCATGGAGCTGGTTTTTTTTTTTGTTYGTTTTTTTCCCYCCASCCGCGRWGYGGCGCACGACCGGGAGARAAAAAAAAAAAAAAAAAAAAAAAAACACAGACACCTGCCTGACTGAACTGCAGTTCCAAACTCCGCGGTGCCACTTTTCTGCAAAGCAGAGTTTCTACTGGAGAGTAAACTCCACACGGGACGTCAGGACAGGAACTAAAAACTGCAGTTTGAAATGCTTTTTTTTTTTTTTTTTTTTTCCCAAATTTTGGGAGAAATGCATTTAGATACGCAGACCATGACCGCGCCCTAGTTTTCTCTTGTTTTTTTTTTCCCAGTATATTTATGAGTGTATGCAAAAGTATTTGTTACTATTTGATATTTACCCCTCTTTGACAGACCCCCAACTGATAGTGCATTACTGTAACTTTTGCAGTTTTACCCTCCAACTTGCTCCATGGCTTCTAAGCATTTGTAGGTGCCACCCAACTTGAAATAATCAATCACACTCCAGTCGGCGAATTTGACGGGGCATCAAGCACGTTGATTGTATGGCCTCCTGGTCACACAAGGGACATCACCTAAGGTAATCGACGTCAAATGCCCTACGATATTATCTATGTACAAATTACTACAAATACAAATTGCCCTTTCTTAAGTTTCTTTTTAATTGTATTGAATCACAATTATTCAGTTGAATTCACTGAATTCAGTAAGTCAACCTTATTTGAGATGTTTCATAAGCAATGCATTTAATACCCATGATTAATCTTGTGAGCCACAATTTTTATTTTTATTTTTATTTTTTTAATCATCCCTCACGGGTGCCTGCTCCAACTGGTGAGCCACAACAGATTGCTGAATTCAGATACACGATTTGACCGACTTCAAGAATGACCGGGCCCCACCGGGGTCAAGCATGTGACCGACCTCTGACTCGATCACGCAAGCGCTGTAACATCAATCCACCCCTGTCCGTTCCGATGCCCTCCTTTTGCTAGAGACCAATGAATGCAATCCCCTGTTTTTTCTAGAGAGTCGGGTTTCTCTCTCTTTCCAATCCCCTCCCTTTTGCTAGAGTCTCAATTGACAGCCAAGAGGGACCAAGACAATTGAGTCGGCGTATGGCTGCACATAGTACCCCCTATGCTACTGTGAACGAGCAACATGGCAACGTATCTCAGAAACAGCAAATTGAAATCCCAAAAAAAAATAAAAAATAAAAAAATGCAGCATATGCATAATGGCACAGAGGAAGGAATGAAGTCACTTTCTTCACTTCTTCATGATAAAATCCGGCCCCGAGCTGTCATGTGGCAGAGTCTGTCTATAGTGTAGCTACCCTCTGCTGAATTGATTCAATGATAAAGGGGATCACTGCCGGATCTTTCGCAGGATCCGGCAGACCCCAGTCCTCCAGCTTTGTTTGAGCGGACAGTTTGGCTTTCAGGGCACCATCTGTCTGTTGCCACCAGGATAACACATAAGACAGCAGGAAATTCAATGAGGAGGAATTCGAAGGAAGTAAAGGAGGGAAGGAATGGGGCAGAGGAGAAGTGCAGAGAAGGGAGGGAGGCACAGGGGTAGGAAGGGAGGAAGGAAGGGAGGAAGGAAGGCAAGGACAGGGAGGGAGGGAGGGAGGGAGGGAGGAGAGAGGGATGAAGAGAGGGATGGAGGAATGGAGGGGGGATGGCAGGGTAGACAAATGTGGAGGGGGCGGGAGAGGGGAGGGGGGGACAAAAGCAGGGAGAAGCAGAAGAGAGGGGAGTAAGGAAAGGAGTGAGAGGAATGAGAAGAAGGAAGAGGGAGGAAATTGAGGAAGACGGAAGCAAGGAAATACTCTGTAGATAAATGGAGGGAGGGAGGGAGTAAGGCCAGGGAAAAAAACAAAAAAAAGAGAGAGAGAGGGGGGGAGAGAGAGAGAGAGAGAGAGAGAGAGAGAGAGAGAGAGAGAGAGAGAGAGAGAGAGAGAGAGTCAAAGCAAGGCAGATGACACAAGACAGCGATCGGCAGGAAGTCAGCACCCATTTCGTGATGGTAATAGTGATACAGAAAGGTCATGCAGCAAATGACCACATGCATTGGGCAGGATGATGCACAGGCCTAACATTTAATTTTCCACCCCTCCACCCCATATAGCCCCCCCTTCAGCATATACAGGCCAATAGGGTTCCGATTCATGTCAGTGAGTAAAAGTAGCAATGCACTGTACGCTTTAGAGTGAGACAAGCGAGAAGCATGCAACTGAAAACCACAATTAAAAAATGTCCAATTCAATCACGAAATAAAGAGACTGTTCCATCCTCTGAAACTATGCCAAATCTTTTTTTTTTTTTTTTTTTTGAAAGTATTCCAAATCTATTGTGTGCCTTATGCCGAATCTATTCTGTGCCTTATGCAAAAGCCTATTGTGTGCCTTTTTTAATAAAGAGACTGTCCATCCTCTGAAAGTAATATCCCAAAGCTATTGTGCGCCCTTCTCCTGACTGGCGAAGTGCTGTCAACTTGCCACTCTCTCTTATCTGTTCCTCTCAGACCCAGGTAAACTGCCTCTTTCAGAAAGCCGTATAAAGTACTATAGAGTCTAGACCCGTATAAACTTTAAAGTACTATAAACCAAGAACGTAAAGGAGACACTGCTGACGTAAGCCCAGTCTGACTGCCACCCTTTGAGTCTCCTGCCTGGGGAAGTGCTGTCCTTTTTTTTTTTTTTTTTTTTTTTTTTTTTCAAACAACACACCCCCTGCAATGCTAGCGGTGCTGGTAAGAGCAGACACCGCTAGCACCCGGGGGGCCTCCATCTATTGGTGGGGAGCGTCACCTGCTGGAAAACGGGTCCGGCTCACATCCCATTTTGTCCGTCTCTCACTGACAGTGAGTGTGTTATCTTTGATAGTAGCAACCATGCCTCGTAAAAGCCAGCCTCAGAAGAAAGTTATTCTGCCATCAGCGAGCTTGTCAGGTCCTAGAACAGCCATTCTAATTTCCGGGTTGATTGGGGGGGAAAACGCAGGCATTTATAAGATTGTTACAAAATTGTTTTAGGTACCCCCGGAAGATGTCAGTATAATATTATGCAGAGGGAGTAGTTTCGAGGAAAAAGCGCACACCTGAAACTCAATATCAACTAACCGCCATCCTTCAGAATATTTTGAAAGAAAGAAAAAACACAACGAACACACTGCGTGGAACAACTCGGCCAGAAGCGGTACCAGCGCTGTGGGCCCAATATATTCTTCCCCCCCAACACGTCCAGCCTGCCTGGTTAATGAGCAAAGAGTGGAATCCAATCACAGGAAAGAGGAAAAGACCCAGCGGTCCCCCTCGCCCCACTGGACGGCACTGATCAAATTATGCAGACAGATATTCCCAAAGAAAATCCCAAGGAAGAAGTGCTGAGACAGTCACTATAGAGTGCTGTTTGAGAAGACCGATAGCGGCGATAGGGAGGACAGGCTGTGCGTGTCGAGCAGCGTGGAAATCCGCAAGGCCGTACCTGGTCCAGGGGAATGGCACGATTCGGAAGGACACTTTGGGTGGAGGAAGACGTACGCTAACCTCCTTACTAGGTCCTACACGTCGACTGACATGAAACAGGACTGTGTCCTGTGCATTCAGGGCTGCAAAATGTGTCAGCGGAACCCATGCAGCCACCTCTAGGACTACAATTGAAACCGCTCCCTATACCGTCGGGCCCTGGGGACTCGGTCTCTATAGTATTCATAGACACTAAGATCAAGAGTCAGAGTGGGAAAACTCAAGTGATGGTTATAGTCGATAGGTTTAGTAAGTTTGTTGTTTCGTTCCTTTGCCCGCTGAGGCATAAACAGATTTTGTTATTCGTAAATTCTTTGATCGTTGGGTTGTTGAGTATGGACACCCATTGACCATCGTTAATGATAGAGACAGTGTCATGCGGTTCACTGACGAGCACTGGCAACAGTTGATGAAAGTCGACGGGTCTAGACTAACCATGTCATCAGGCAGACATCCAGAGACAAACGGACAGACAAAGCAGATGAACAAACTGCTATTGTAACAGCAAGTTCTTCGCATGTATGTTAGGTCAGATCAGGTAGACTGGGACGAGCTTCTACCTAAGGTAGCTAGTGCCGATAACAACGTTGTGCATCTAGCAACTACTGTCTTCACCCCAATAGAACGCCCGGTGATTATCGCCATATCTGGACTGACAGTTGGCAATGCCCCGAATACAGCTATAATGGCCGGGGGTTCTATTCGGGTGAAGACGGTAGCCGTACACCGAATGAGTTGCACAAGGGATGGCATCCCCGACGACCGATAGACTGCCTGAATCCGAATCAGAATCAGAGACTACCATAGGGCACAAGAAAATTTGCAGTTCACTACGAGAAGGAGATACAAAAAGTTGTTGAGAACATCCAGAAGGCCCAACATCAGATGGTAGAACAGACAAATAAGCACCGTAGACCGTCGACGTTTGCTGTTGGAGATCTTGTCCGGTTTAAGTCAAAGGAGTTCATTCCCGGGGGAGAATGTTCTCAGAAGTTGTTACCTGTTGATAGAGGGTCGCGGAGGTTCTAGATGTCATTGGCGATGCAGACGGTCCCTCTTTAAGTTACACCATCGATATAATCCCGTTGCATCTGCACACGTACCCGGTATTCCATGCATCTAAGCTGCTGCCTTATGTTATTAACGATAGGTTCCATTCACGCAGACCCGTGATCCCTCCTGATATGGATATGGATGGACGTTACGACATTGACTGACAGTGTGGCATTCTGAGCCACACGGGCCCCAGTTAGGGCCCGGTTCCAGGTAGGCAGGGTAGGCCTAAGGGGAACGACGGTTCAGATGAGGCCCAGGTAGGCCAGGGGCACGACGGTTCAGGCAGAGGCCCGGGCCAACGGCCACCAGGCCGGTACCGGTCCAGCATAGGACCTACCGGCGGCGCAGTTTCAGAGGCTGCCAAGTTTAGGCACCAAGTCCGTTGATTCAGATCAACGGTCCAGGCCGGTAGGTACCAGCAGGTAGGAGGCCGGCCCAGCACTACAAAAGGCTGGGTACCAGCCTCAGCAGGGGGTTAGAGGTTAGTACGGTTGGGTTAGTCTTCAGGATTAGCGCAGCCTTGCAGCGTTAGGGAGATTAGCGCAGCGCAGCAGCGTTAGCGCGAGCAGCGAGGCGACGACGAGCGCAGCGGCGAGAAGGAACAGTGCAGCGGCCCTGCCGCGCCATAGCTACCGGTTCAGGTACCCGGGAGGAAGGCTTCGCCTTTCGCTCCCTCTGTTCCTCAACCCCCCTGCTCTCTCTCTCTCTCTCTCTCTCTCTCTCTCTCTCTCTCTCTCTCTCTCTCTCTCTCTCTCTCTCTCTCTCTCTCTCTCTCTCTCTTGCTCTCCTCCTACCTTCTCAGTCTAAGCCTACTTCTGAGTTCTCCTACGGGACTATTATGAGTATGAAGGATGGTTACGGATTCTGATAACATTGGGAACGGCGACAGCGACTTGGGGATCTGATTTCATCTTCCTTCTGGAGATGTACTTGACATTGTGAGATCGATATCTGAGACATTGTGAGACATGTTATTCGCGACATTTCGGATTGTCGTCACTTCTGACATTTCAAGATACTATCTTTGGAAACATTGAGTTGACGTCATCTTCCCTCTCCTCCTCCTTTCGTCTCTCTCCTCCCTCCATTCGTCCGTGGATGATCTCAGATCCTGGCCTTCATCTATGTCTACGGCCAGGGCTTTCACACCCCCGATGTATGATTGAGAGTGTTCGATTGCAGTCCGAGTCAGGTCAGAGTCAGTCCATGGGTATCAACTCTTCCGCTGTATTTGTATCAACTCTGTATTATCTGGCCGGTTCTGCGAATCAGCGCCATGCTTATGACTGTGTTTCACGAGTATGCAACATTGACCGTATCATAGAAGAAGATGTATACCGAACGGGGAGAAGGGGTAGACAACTGCGGTACTTTAAAGTGATTGTCAGGTTTGTCTATCAAGAACCGGAAGATGACTGATGGTACACTAAAGATGAGCTGATGGAAACTGCACCTCATATTGTGTCTTACTATGAGCTTGCTACTAGGATAGAAGATAACATTACAGACAGGTGAACATTGAATCTTTCTCGGAGGACCTCAAAATTAGGCCCGTGGGAGTGAAAGGATTTCACACAGTTAGTCCCCAAAGGTCCTGGTCCCAGTTAATCCGGTAGGCTACAGTACCGGCAGGGGTAGGCCTAGGGTCTGTAGTATGAGATCGTCGGTAGGCAGCTACAGTACCTGCAAACTAGTCAAGTCCCTAAAGTTCAATTTTGCAGCTGCAGCCTCCCAATGAGAGTCGGGAATTTTCCCAAAATGGCAATATGGCAAAGGCAGAGGCCACAGGAGGCTGGGACCGATTGAAGCAGGCACAAACAGCCCACTGCAACTACATATTTTGGGCTACAGTTTCGAAAGGCATTCAGTTGTTTATTTCGCAGAATTGTGGAAGCGCTGCAAGAGCTTGACAATGTGTGATCAAGCGACCTGGATGAAGAAGGAGCGTAAGGGAGAGAAGTGCGCAGCGCCTAGCTGCTACAGTCAGCCATAGCCAGGTGAGAGGGGAGAGGTTCCCCAGCGGCCATAGCCCCCCAAGATCAGCAAGGCACACTATAGTAGCATTCAGGGTATATCTAGGACGTCGAGAGAGAAAACAATGCGTGAGGGACACTGAGCGAAGAACATTGCAAGAGAGAAAGAGAGAGAAGTAGACTATCCACAGAGAGAGAGAGAGAGAGAGAGAGAGAGAGAGAGAGAGAGAGAGAGAGAGAGAGAGAGAGAGAGAAGAGAAGCAGCCAAAGGAGGAGGAAGTTGGGTACATACCTGCTTGTTGCAGCAGTTCAAACGCTTATTCTCGAACTTTTTCAATTGTATATTATTGCACTTTTCAGTGGACCTTTGAATTTGCACTGTTCATGGATATCACTCAAGTTCATGTGAACTTCATCTGATTGCTCTCAATTTGCAATTTGTATTCTAAGTTGAATCTTGTGACGTTCATTCCATAAGCCTCAAATAAGCCTCGGCTTGAGGCTCAGAATCAGACTGGGCTTCAGATTTGGACTCAGACTCTCAGACTCTCAGAGTGGACCGCAGAGTGGGAATCAGCATGGGACTCTGAGTGGGACTTGGATTATTAGCCCATTGTGACCCAGCATTAAACCTCTGCTGCACCGAGGGCTTTGATGTGTTGAGAATGTGTTGGGAAAAAGAGTTGCCACGGCAAAGAAGGCAAGGCAAGGGAAGGGATGTGATCGGGACGAGATGCCAAAGCATCCGACGGAGGAGAAGAGAAGAGAAGGGAAGGAAAAGGGAAGGAGAAGGGAAAGAAAAAGGAAAGGAGAATGGAAAGAAAAGGAAAGGAGAAGGGAACTTCAAAGAGGTCCTTCGGAACATCTGTTAAAATTGGAACGATACAGAGAAGATTAGCATGGCCCCTGCGCAAGGATGACACGCATAAATCGAGAAATGGTCCAAATTATATATATATAAAAAAAAAAAAAAAAGGGAACTTCAAAGAGAACGGAAGGAGAACGGAAGGAGAACGGAACTTCAAAGAGAAGGGAAAGAAAAGGGAAAGAAAAGGGAAAGGAAAGGAAAGGAAAGGGAAGAAGGACACCAGTGTTGCAACTTTACCCCACACTGCATCTGCATGCATCCCATGGTTATCACCATATCCCAGCTGTCTAAGGGGGTCACTTCATCATCTTCCAGGCTCTGCAAACAGAAGATGAAGCAGAAAAAAAAATGGGCATGCTGCTGAGCTTTGTGAAACAACATCATGATGTGGCTCTTCAACGCATCGTTAAAATTAAAACTGGACTTCATAATATATACTGATAGAATTATGGACTTATTCAACTCATTGACAATCATAATTATTAATTACCATACTTGCAAGCGGATGCCGTCCGCGCGGTTCCGCACGTGCGGCGGACCGTCGGACCAGACCCGCGCGGCGCACGAATGTGTGCCCGACGACCAGTTACCCCCCCCCCCCCCCCCCCCCCGAAAAAAAAATGGCCCCGTCCAGTCCGGTCCGGTCCGGTCCGGTCCGGGTCCGTCCGGTCCGGGGGGAGGGTGCCGCATGCGGCAAAGCGGACCGGACCGGACGCTCGTTCCGTCCGTCCGCTTGCAAGTATGGTAATTACACATTTGTAGTAGTAATTTTGTACGGAAATTTGCAAATGAAACGCAAAGATGTAAACATGTGTTCATAACTTCATAGTACATAGAACTTTTCATACGTTTATTATGTTTGCTTTAGAAAAGAAAAAGATGATGTTCATGGTTATTAAAAAAGAAGAAGAAGAAAAGAAGAAGAAGATGCACGAACAAATACTGGTCCAGATTGAAAACCCCACAAATAGCCAGGTACGAAGCATGTGCATGTGCAGATTGCCAACGGCATGACCTGCGCAAGCACCTGGATGAGATGATGGAAAGGTGCATTCCTACCAGACCGGTAATATTGTTGTGCATTCAAATTTGACACATTATTGATGAAAATGTGATATACATTTGAATCATATTTTCTGTTTTCTGTTCTTCGATCCATGTTTTTATTTTAAAAAAGACAAGTGTGTAATGACCCGCCAAAACACGGACTGAGAACACTGCTGATTTCCGAGTTCTGCCGCTGGAATGTATGCCTTGCTGAGATTCCCGCATTCTGCTGGTTTTTTTAAGTCTGTGTGTGTGTGTGTGCATGCTTGCCGGTCCGGTGCCTGTCTGAGTGCACGTCTGCCTTCTTCTTTGGTCTCTATCTCTTTGCAAGTGCTTTCGTTTCTTTTGCAATTGGGTGGCATTGTCTTTCCTTGTAGGTATCTTCCCAGTCCGATGCAGTGACGATGAGGGTGCATTGTGTTTGGGGAAAGAAGGTCTCTTCAATCCATGCTCGTCATCCCTGGCCCAGGAGACAGCACAAAACAAAGCCCCCCAAAAAAAAAGAAAACAAATAAAAAAAGAGAGCAGCTTCCTGTTCCACCAGGGAATACTGTCTGTCGGTCTCCACGAACTGAGGTGACACAGCAGAGCCACACACAGGCAACACCAACACACACATCAGTTCCACTAATGCTGCACACATCATTTATGTGCAAACATAGTATATAAAGAATACCTTTTGAAAAGGAAAAGGATATTACTACTAATGGTGCAATCATCAACAGCTATCCATTATCATGGCATTATGTATGTCTGTATGCATGTATGTATGTATGTATGTATGTATGTATGTCTGTATGTATGTATGGAGCATGCTGCACTAAGCTGAGCAGGGTCACATGGACATTGATGACATATCTGCATTAGAGTATCAGTGGTAGCCTAAGACAGCATCACAAAGAGACCATCCAGCCCAGGATAGCATCATAAGAGACAAGGTAGAAAAATAAAGTAAAAATTTAAGAACAAGAACAAGGATCCTGACAGACTGTTTCGTCGAACTGGCCTGCTCATCAGGAGGCCGAACCCTCTGCAATCTGCAGAATCCTCATATTGATGTTTCGAGTCATGATATCCTCTAGCCCCTGTTATAGGCTGACGACCAGCAACGGACATTACAATCAGCAGGGCAAGGGGGAGGCCATAAGGCAGTGGAGGGCAAGCAACAGCGAAGCACATAGGCCGGAGGGCATCGGGGAGGTGGGTGGGTACGACTAGGGAACAAGGCCGCGAGGCAAGGAGGCAACAAGGCATCAAGGCATCAAGGCAACAACGCAGTGAGGCATGAGAGGTAACACGGCAACCAGGAAGCGGGGCAGTGAGGTAACAAGGCGACAAGGCAGTGAGGCAGTGAGCCAGCCAGGCAATGCCATATGGAGCAAAGTGGATGGGCAGCCAGGCAGTGAGGCAGAACACACAGCAAGCAAGAGAGCAGCCAAGCAACAAGGCAGCGCCCACAAGAGAACCACAAAATGTAAACGGAAGAGCAGCAAGGCAGCAAGGCAGCACAGGCAAGGCGGTCCAGTCAAACAGTACAGACCGAAGCAGATCATTACCTACTCACACCAGAAGTAGAACTCTACGGACTGTAGGTTCACACCACCATGAGAGCTAGCGAGTTTCTTTGATAAATGTCTGTCATCAGTGACTCATCACCAGGGAGCACAGACACACGAACATCCCAGACACAGCAGGCCCCTAATACTGTTCCAGGCACGCCAGACTACACTGGCTATTTGGCATATCTTAAAGGTTCTCACTTAGACAGGGGAAAAACACAGGAAAATTTACCAGAGAACGCAGAAGAATAACTAAAAGAAATGAAAGTTTTGCATAAATATGATAATTTTGTGTGTGTTTGCGGGTGTGTGTAATGAACCCAGTCGTGTTGAGAAGCCAATCAATGTCTTGATACAAGTCTGAAACCATCGGACAAAATAATAGTACTAGTAGTAGGTAGGTAGTGTGAGGTGAAATTGAGAGAAGAATGTAGCTTACTTTTGGGGGGGGGGGGGGGGGGGGGGGGGGGGGGGGGGGAGGGGGAGGGAAGTAAAAAGTAACGCTACCAACTGCCCTAGCTCAGTCCGTACACCCGTACTGTTGAAATACAGACTGAGTCAGGGCAGTCCGTACACCCCCGTACTGTTGAAATACAGACTGCCCTAGCTCAGTCCATACACCCCCGTACTGAGCTAGGGCAGTCCATACACCCCCCTACTGAGCTAGGGCAGTCCGTACACCCTCGTACTGTTGAAATACAGACTGCCCTAGCTCAGTCCGTACACCCCCATACTCTTGAAATACAGACTGCCTTGGCTCACTGACAGTCCGTACACCCCCGCACTGATCACCCCTGTACTGAGCTAGGGCAGTCCGTACACCGCCGCACTGTTGAAATACAGACTGCCCTAGCTCAGTCCGTACACCCCCGTACTCAGCCTGTTGAAATACAGACTGCCCTGGCGCAGTCCGTACACCCCCTTACTGAGCTAGGGCAGGTACTGTTGAAATACGGGCTGCCCTAGCTCAGTCCGTACACCCCCGTACTGTTGAAATATAGACTGCCCTAGCTCAGTCCGTACACCCCATACTGTTGAAATACAGACCGGGGTTTGAACTCCACTGGAACCAAATGAACGAAATACGGGGGTGTACGGACTGCTCTAGCTCAGTACGGGGGTGTACGGACTGCCCTAGCTCAGTACCTGGGTGTACGGACTGAGTTACCTAGGGCCGGTCCGCTCGATGATGCCAACTCTAGGTCGTCGCCCTTTCCGGAAAAAAAAAGAAAGAAGGGACAAAAGGAATGCTTATACACAGTGGGAGGAACAAAAAAAAAAAAAAAAAGCGCTTCTCTGGGCAAAAAGCAGACACGTCTTCTTTGGCTTGAAATTCAGTGTTAAATATTTGTGTGCTCTTCTTTTTATTTCTCCCTCATCACTTCTTCGCAGACACACATCTTCTTTGCCTAGAAATTCAATGTTAAATATTCGGGGGTGAAAAAGTAAAAGGAAAAAAAAAGTGAGAGATAAAAGAAAAAAAGGATATCTGATCCGTCACAAAAAAAGAAAAGAATGTACATCTGAATTCCCCTCGCCCTTTCGGAAAAAGAAGAGTGTACCTCGTGGGGCGTGGTCCCACTAGCAAAGAGGATCGGATTGAGTGCCTGAATCTGGACGAGTTTATGGAGAGGTGCAGGAAATCAAGATTGAACTTGAACTGCTTTAAATTTCTGCATCTCTGCATAAAACACATCCATAGTCATGAGCTCGATCCAATTCTCTTTGCTAGAGGGACCTCGGCCCCGGATAAAGCTTACATTCTAGTTTTTGACTAGTAGACAAGTCACATGTACATCCCCATTCAAATGTATAGATCGGGCCACGAATCGCCCAAAAAAAGAGAAGTCGAAAACCAGGTACTACTAGCCTAAGGTACTTCGTGACTGCATTTAACCGAAATTGTGACAACATTCAGGCCCATCTTTGGATAGCATCCAGAGTTTACGAAACTCTTGCGTAGGGAGTATTCCTCACATTATGAAACTTCGCAATTAGCCCAGACAGGTGCACGGGTTTGTTCTCTAGGTCTTTCGTTTGACAGATCAGTGGTACAACTACTGGCTTAGCCTGATCCCGGCCCCGTCGTCCTCTATCCCGACCTCTCCTCATCTCTTTCGCCCCTCCCCGCCTTCCCCTCTCTATGTCTCAGCCAGCTGCTCTCTCTCTCTCTCTCTCTCTCTCTCTCTCTCTCTCTCTCTCTCTCTCTCTCTCTCTCT